AAAAAAGTAGCAAAAAAATTATGACAAAAGATGGACCTATGTCTGAGGGATCTAGGAGGTTCCTTTCCCACTTAGTAGGAATTCCAGGGGTGAAGCAGAGAAAATGAAAAGAGCAAGTTACTCCAGGAACAATATAAGAAAATGTCCACAAATTGAAGAATACAGGTCTCTAGACTAAAAGATCATTTCAATACCCTTTTCCCATATGAAGATCCCATAAAAAGTTCCACATGAAGGCTCATCTTCATGACATTTGATACCAGGGATAAAGAAAAAGGCATGAAAACTTTCAGAGGGCTGAACTGTAGCTCAGTTACAGAGCATATGCTTAGAATGTGGGAGGTGCTGGGTTCAATGCCTAGCATGAAGAAAAAAAAATACATTCTCCAGAGAGATAAAACAAGTCAATAGCCAAAGAACAAGAATTTGAGTGGCACTGCACCAAAACAATGCTGGTTGCTAGAATCCAATAAGCTAAAACCTTTAAAATCCTGAAGAAAAGATGATAACCGGGTTGAATGGAAGAGTAGGAAATGTCGGAACACTGAAAATATCTTCCTCGTGTGACCTTTCTGAGAAGTTATTTGAAAATATTCTCCACTGAAATGAAGGAGACATTCAAGAAGTAAGACGACAGAATTCAGGGAGACTCCCAATGGGGAAAGGCAGACGCCCTTCTGAGAAGCTTGAATTTCATTTGGTAGATGTTTCAGGCACTGTGGTTTGCAGGCACACAATGAAATCGTGTTTTAGAAAAAATATTCTAGGTCTGAAGGTGGGATCAGTAAAAAATTTTGGGGAGACCAGAATCCTAACTCAGGCATCTGATGGGTGAGGGGAGCACAACTGTATTTTGCCAAAATATTTATGGTGTGAATGAAGGACAAGGTCAAAAGAGACTCCATGAGGACACTGAAGCTTTCAGCTGTGCAAGATGGTGGAAAAATAGGAAATAAAAAAAGTACCATTAGACTTGAACAGAAGATTCACTCCACTTAGAATGTTTTGAGTGACGAGGCAATGCTATGTCCACTGGGAAGTGAAAAGGACTGAATACCTTCCTTCCTGAGAACACTCTGTCTGTTTAAAGCTGCAGATCTCTGTGATAGAGAACAATTTTTTAAAAGAAAAAGAATAAAAAATAATAGGTCTCCCCGGCTTGGTCCTGAAAATGCACAGTAGCAGAGTAGAGCGAACTGCAGGCGGAGAGGCCAGCTCCACAGGAGCCCTGCAGAACAGCCTGCCTACTGGGCACTTACAACTGCATCTGGTAGCCTCAGATACCTGAAATGAGGTTGCAGGGCTTTGAATGACACGGTATAAAGATGGGCGTTATTGGTGGTACACTGAGAAGCACTGCAAGGTTTTAAGCAGAACACACCCTTACTCCCTTATGACCGCTCTGGTTGCTCTGTGGAGGATGGACTGGATGGGAGTAAGAGGGAACAAAGACACTACTGCAGGAAAGAGAGGATGTCAGCTAGGAATCGGAAGCTTATATGGGTGATGCAAATGCAGACCTTGTTGGTCTCTGTGAGGAACTCGTTCTGTGACCCCATGAAGATATGAAATTGAATTTTGGAATGCTCAAGTGTTTTATATAAAATGGCATAATATTTATGTGTAATCTACACACATCCTCTTGTATACTTTAAATCATCTCTAAATTACTTACAGTGCCCAATACAATGTAAATATCATGTAAATAGCTTATACTTTTGCTTAGGGAGTAGTGGCAATGAAGACTGTATTTTTAGTAGAGCTGCTATTTTATTTTTAATATTTCCAGTTGGGTGAATTCATGGATTTGGAACCTGCAGATACAGAGGGCTGACTGTACATGGATTTGTGATTATTTTGGAGTTCAGATCTACTGGTCTTTTGATAGATTAAATGTTGATTGAGTAACGGTGAGGAAGCCCAAGATGTTACGAGTTTCTCCAAGGTTACTTTGAACACCTAAGAGTATGTTACTATAACGCAGGAATAAGGAAGAGGAGCCGGCCAGGGTAGGTGGAGGGGGTCACAAGCTAAGTTTGGACAGAACTGTTAAGATGCCTGTGAGGCTTCTGAGTGGAAATGTCAAATAAGTAGTTGTATACACAGGGAAAAGTCTGTGCTGGAGCTGTATTTGATGGGTTCTTTGCTTTTTGCCAGAGTTCAGATAAACTCCAAACCCTTTCCAGTAATACACACAATCAGTGTATTTAGCAGATAGCAAAGCAGGGAAAATCAGCTATAAGATGCATTCTTCACTGACATGAAAACATTGTAGGATAAAGAGACACATAACAACGCCACACCTTGAAAACAGCATGGATGAAAGAGGTGAGGCAGCCAGCCAAAGTCTGGCTTCCCCTACTTCTCAGCTGTACAGAAGCCTGGCTCTAACATCTCTCAACTCTCTCATAACTTCAAAGTCATTCGTGTATGTCAGTTAGTCTGTTAAAATTCACCTGGAGATCATACAGCAATAAATGCCACAGTTAATTCTTACCACCAGGCAATCTTAGAAAATACAGAGCCATAGAATTTTAAATCAAATACAATACACAATAGCAAATACCATACCCTTCTCCCATAAGAGTCACAGTTCTGTGGTAAGAATGAGGTTAATTCATGAGCTTTGTGTTTGTTAAAACAAACAAAAACCAAAAGCAAGCTCTGGCATCCTTGTACCTTGATAATGTAAATCCCACTTACAATGCTGCGTAAGAAAGAACTGAAAATATTAGACTTCATTTTACCCAGGCACTACTATTTACATTAAATATTTTTAAATATAAATGCTACTTGATGGATTTTAACTGATAAAATATAAAATAAGAAAGATGTTAAATATTCATAGTCTCATTTAAGCTATTATTCAGTGCAAGTAAAAATGATGGAGCAAGATATAAACCTGGATATTCTAGGACTGTGAGACCAATGAATGTGAAGATAAAAGCTATGAATCAAATCTACTAACTTGTAATATCCAATTCCTAGTCCCATCACCCTTGCATTTCGTAGTATGAAAAAATGACTTGACTCTCATTTCAGATTGTTAATATAAATACTTGAATTTTCTGTGCAGGAATACATTTATAGTGTATTCTGAATAATCTGTGCAAGGGCAGAGAAGTTTTTCTTAGTCATGAACTCACTGTGTGACTGGTTGGGACTTGCATGTTCTGCATTATTAGAATATTTTTGTATATTACTAGTGAATCAGTGAATCAGTCCCAAAAGACTGGTCCCCACAGAAACTGATAGCAATATAGCTCCCTTTGAGCCTGTTCAATTTTATTTCATTTCCCTTTGAATAGATAGATGATGTTATTTTGCAGAGTAAACTTGACATTCATCTCTGATTCCATGAGTCTGATGAAGGTATTCTAATAAATAAAATGAAACGTCTGTGGAAACAGAATGTCTTCTGGTCAATACTCGAATCTCAACCAATGGAAATAGAAGCTCCTTATAAAACATTGACTTAGATGCCTAATATCCTTCCTTAGACTATTGGCTGTGTTCCTCCTTAGACTGCAAACTCAGATCACAGGTTCAGTAGCAGGAAGGAGCATATCAGTTTCCCATTAACCTCAGCTCTGTTTGATTTGCTGGCCAAGAACTGAAAGATCCTGGCTGCTCACTGACTCCCTGTGCTGTTCTGTTCTCTGTAACCAGGGATGTGTCTTATACCAGTATTACTGCCTTGCCGTCCAAAGGCCTGGAGCACCTGAAGGAACTGATAGCAAGAAACACTTGGACTCTTAAGAAACTTCCACTTTCCTTGAGTTTCCTTCACCTCATCCGGGCTGACCTTTCTTATCCCAGCCACTGCTGTGCTTTTAAGAATCAGAAGAAAATCAGAGGGTAAGTGTCAAGGACCTAGAATGAGTGATTAAAGGCCATGGCGGAAGTTAAATTAATTTCTGGGTTTAGAGAAGAATCTCTGTGACTTGGAAATCAGGTAGAAAAGACTTAGGAACTTCCGTAAGAAAAGGAAATCCATCAGACACAATGACTGTGGGTGGAAAGTAGTTACAGATGAGAAATAGGCCAAGGTTTCTGGATAACACAGGGTAAAGAAGGTAATAAGAGATGAGATGGTAGGGAAAGTTGTGGCCAGGGCATGTAGAACCTTGTGGAGGTTGCACGGATATGATTTCTATTTCTCATTTCCAGAAGCAACACATATTAGATACCAACAGGAAAGACAAGCTTACAGCATAAGCAAGTGGAGCACCTGATCAGCTTGGGCCTTACACATGTCACAGCTAACTAGTTACATGAGACAGGCTTTGCAGTAAGCTTGGTTTGTAACCCAGCCCCATGAGTTTCTAACTGTTATATAACTACACTGGGCTTCTAAAAACAAAAAGCATAAAGTCATCATGATAGGGATTTCATCAGATGAAAGAAGCTGAATAGAAAATATTGGAATGGGATGGCCTGCAACAGTATAAGTTCTCAGTAGACATTAACTGTGATATATATTATTTTAATATCTGACTGCTTATGAGGTTGTGAAGGAGGGACGGCCCTCTCTTCCTCTATATATCCTGTCACTTTTGCTTTCACCTGAACTTTTACCTGTACATGTCCCTCTTTATGGCTTGTACCATTCCCTGTTCTCCTACCTGCACCTTCATTTATTTATCTCTCATTTCGGTCTTTCTCAGCTTCCTGCAAGTATCTACTAATTGACTTTCTGTACTTGTATTTATTGTCAGAAAAAAGTTGGGACCCAGTTGTGGAGTCTGAAGCAAACAGGAAAGTTGAACCACTGTGCAAAGCAGGCACATATGGGCATAAAATTTCAGGAAGCCAGGAAGAGGACACACAGATGGTGACAGCAGAGTCTGTACTGATGTCATATGGCAGAGACTAGGAAGGGATCAGGGATGTGTAGGAGACTAAGGTGAACCTCAGGGGCAGGGTCCAGGTTGCTCATTAACCTTCTAACAGGTTAGAACAGCTAGCATTTTAAACAGAGTTTGGTAGGCCAGTCAAACTCTGCTCAGCAGCTGAGTCAACTTAAACAATTTCTTTTGTTGTAAGTCTGGTGAACTACTGAAAAATGAGATCGTTTTTGTACGAACATGTCTGCATGGGACTATTTATTCATTTGTTCAATAAATATTTATTACCTACTCCATGCCTGTCACTACCCTGTCCACAATAGTGAGCAGGACAGACAAGAGCCCCTCTTGCATTTTGTTTACAGTTTAATGAAGGAAACCAGAAAATAAAAAGGGAAATAAGAAAATAGCAGACAGTGCTTTGAAGGAAATACAAGTGTTAAGACAGTTTATTGGAGGAAATCAAGGAAGACTCCTCGAGAAACAGATATTTGAGTTTAAAGCAAATAATAAGTACAGGCAGACATGAGTTTCTAGGCAAAGGAACGTAGAATTCTAGAGCTCTTAATAGGAATAAAATAACAATAACCAACACATAGATACAGCAGTCATGATGCTGCAGGTGTAACCCTGTATGAAATAGGGTTTATAAAATTCATTTTACAAATGAATAAATTGAGATTCAGAGACCTGCCCAAAGTAAAACAGCAAGTAACTAGTAGAGCCTCGTGCTAGCTTAAGTCAACAGGCTCCAGCATCCATGCTTTTTTATCACTGCCATTTGTGGCTTCACTGCTATTCCTGTGGTGACAGCAGATGAGAAATAAGATCAGTGTCACGGGGTCACAGTAGGTGAGGGGAGGAAATAGGCAATGATGTGGGTGAGACGGGCTGACCGGATGGTACAGTCTTGTAGAATCATATTCATCATGTAAGAAGTTTGCATATGTTTCTAAACGTTACAGGTTTTAAGTACATGGTGATTCATTTCTGTTGCCCTGTAGAATCCTTGAGTCCTTGATGTGTAACGAAAGCAGTATCCGGAGCCTACATCAGAGAAAATCTGTGAATGCCTTGAATGGCCCCACCTACCAGGAATATGAAGATCTGGGTGACAGCAGTGTTGGGTACAAGCAAAACTCCAAGCTCCAGGATACCCACAGCAGCTCACATTATTATGTCTTTTTTGAAAAACAAGAAGACGAAATCGTTGGCTTTGGCGAGGAGCTCAAATACCCCCAGGAGGAGACTCTCCAGGCCTTTGACAGTCATTACGACTACACTGTGTGTGGGGACAATGAAGACATGGTGTGTACCCCCAAGGCAGATGAGTTCAACCCTTGTGAAGACATAATGGGCTACAGGTTCCTAAGAGTTGTGGTGTGGTTTGTTAGCCTGCTGGCTCTCCTGGGAAATGTCTTTGTCCTGTTTATCCTCCTCACCAGCCACTATAAACTGACCATCCCACGCTTTCTCATGTGCAATTTGGCCTTTGCAGATTTGTGCATGGGGATATACCTGCTCCTCATTGCCTCTGTGGATCTCTACACTCACTCAGAGTACTATAACCATGCCATTGACTGGCAGACTGGCCCTGGGTGCAACACAGCTGGTTTCTTTACTGTTTTCGCCAGCGAGTTGTCAGTGTACACACTGACAGTCATCACACTGGAGCGCTGGTATGCCATCACCTTCGCCATGCGCCTGGACCGGAAGCTCCGTCTCAGGCACGCGTATGCCATCATGATTGGTGGGTGGGTTTGCTGCTTCCTCCTTGCCCTGCTCCCTTTGGTGGGAATAAGTAGCTATGCCAAGGTCAGCATCTGCCTGCCTATGGACACGGAGACCCCTCTTGCCCTGGCATACATCATCCTTATTTTGATGCTCAACATTGTTGCCTTCATCATTGTTTGCTCCTGTTATGTGAAGATCTACATCACAGTCAGAAATCCCCAGTATAACCCTGGGGACAAAGACACCAAGATTGCCAAGAGGATGGCAGTGTTGATCTTCACTGACTTCATGTGTATGGCTCCCATCTCATTCTATGCTCTGTCAGCGCTTATGAACAAGCCTCTCATCACAGTCACCAACTCTAAAATTTTGCTGGTTCTCTTCTACCCACTTAACTCCTGTGCCAATCCATTTCTCTATGCTGTTTTCACCAAGACCTTCCAAAGGGATGTGTTCATCCTACTCAGCAAGTTTGGCATCTGTAAACATCAGGCTCAGATTTACAAGGGCCAAAGAGTTTGTTCAAAGAACAGTATTGGTATTCAGATCCAAAAGGTCACCCAGGGCAGAAAGCAGAGTCTCCCCAACATGCAAGATGCCTATGAACTGCTTGAAAACTCCCACCTGACTCCAAATAAGCAGAGTCAAATATCAGAAGGGTGTAAGCAAACAGTTTTGTAAATTTAGCCCATGCTACTCACAATGGTAGGGGAACTTACAAGGGGCTGATTTTATTGACCATACATTCCAATCCCATGACACATAAACACACAGCTGACCTAATTCTTTGGGACCAGAGTTCATCTCTAGAGAGTAACTAGCAGTAAACTAATCACTGCCTCCTAGAAGGAAGAAAAACTACCAGCACATCTGAATCCCTAGTGATGTCAAAATAATCTGTCCTTTCCGCAGGACTTGCTTGATGCTAAATCCAGAGATGACTCAGTGTGACATTGTTCAGCAAGCATTAACTGGACCATGTTAACATTGATTTTCTCACTTTTTTGGGGGGTGGGGGTTGAGGCAGGGTCTCACTATGTAGCCCAAGCTGGCCTTGAACTCACTGATCCTCCTCCCTCAGCCTCCCAAGTACTGGGATTACAGATGTGCACCACCCTGCCCAGCAATCTTCTGACTTCCATGTAGAATTTCATACTAAAGATTCAGCATATGGTCAATGCTATTAACTTAGTGACCACAACATAAAATCAACCCGGCTTTGGCTCTGCTTGACTTCATATACCCTGAAACGATCTAAGAGAGCTTTAGATCCTTAAAACTGAAAAGTTTTAACATGAATAGATGTCATGCAATAGCTATGGTGCGGCATGAAGAAGGGGAAGTTTTAGTTTTAAAATGTCTTTTTGGACTTGGAAATTACTAATCATCTCTTCACTACGATCTACCTGATGTAACCCAGCTGTTACCTATTGCCTGGAGAAACTGGTAACATTTCACCTTATGTGGTCTAGAAAGCTAAGAGTTGTTCTCCTCATAGCATACAGGATAGGGACTCTACAAACTACTTCTAAATTGCAAAGCATTTCTAAATAGGAATTAAGGGCAGAGCACACTTAATCACTTGTTGACTTATAAGCAGTTTGGACTCCAGTTAGTTATAGGATTTTTAATAAATCACTGGGCCTAAGAAGTCTAAAAAGAAAGGAGCTTGATGGTTTATTCCACTTACAATTTCCCTATATATATATCTCTCTTTAACTCAAAACATATATTTCTATGACAAAGACAAATAAAAGCACTAATTAAATTGAATCTTCTTTTCCTATATCATAGAGCTGCTTTCTCCCTCTTTTTGGAACCTAGACATATGAATGACCCAGAAAATTTTTTCTTTATTTCACTTTTGGTCATGCTGTCTGAACCAAAAGATTCCTTGGGTTGATTGGATACAAATCACTCATCTACTGCTAAAATTATGAGCTTAAAAACAAATTGTTATTTATATAATAGGGTAAAAGGTGTTTTGCAAATTTTGGCTATTTGGAGTTACTACAGTATGCAAAACCACTTGAAAACATTTGTCATCAACGACTGTTTCTTAGCCATTTTGAGCCTACAGTCCCACATGAAAGCTGTCAAGAGATATAACTTCTTTACTGATACTGCCAGCTTTTTCTAGCCCGGTTGCTTACTGGACATAAAATCTTTACTCCCCATCTGTACTCTTTTACTTAAAGCAGTCAGAAACTTTATCTATGGATATACTCTCCAGGTTACCTTCCATGGTAGCCCCTTAATTTCTTGCTAGAAGAGTCTCCAAGCAGAGATGGCATTTGCTTCTCATTGCCCATGAACCACAGCATGAAACAAATGCTCTTGAGGTCTGTAGAATAGGATTGCTAGGCACTCAGAGACAGTTCCCCCCTGGCTCACCTGGACTATCTTCCCAACCAGAGCTATTCCTGATAACCACTAACACCTGTGCAGCTCCATAGACCTAGCATAAACACCTAAAATCATTACTTTCCTAGCAATTCACTTGTACCTAGTGGAATTCAGCAAATGTGTTAACTTTTGGCGTGTGTTTCTCTTGTGACATTTTGAAACATCCATGAGTAGCTAACCTAATATTATGGAAACAGAGTCCAAGAAGAATGACTTCAACAGAATTATCACTAATATTTACATCCACAACATGAAATAAATTTTCTTCATATAAATTGATTGCACTAAGTCCATTTTTTTTTTTTGTAATTTGTGAGTTTGCTTTGGGAATAACATTATGTGTGTTAAGACTCAAGGGGGAAGACAATTGGCACATTTGCTAATGAATCCTTGTTGATAAATAAGGTGTTGACTCTCAATAAGAAGTATAAAATTATATTTTGATTATAAATAATATTTATGTGAAAAAACTTACTCTTGGTGAACTGAGTTATGATTCTTTCATAGATAATGATGCCTAAGAAAAAAATAAAAATATATCAAGTAAATAATTAGTATTGATTCTAGGATTTAAGTAATATTCTAATGAGGATAATAAATCTATAAATCCAGTTCAGGGTTCACTGTAACTAGCATCTTTTAATTAGCTGAAGAGACACCCAAATTAGGATAAACACCCATAGGCTCACTTAATCGATGTCACAAAATTCATGCCCTACAGCTCATGCATGTTGCTCAAAGGAGTATCTCTTGAATACATAGTTTCAAAGTTTATTGACTCTTGCTTTATTAGTAACTAGCATGTCTATGACGTAAAGTGGCCAGTGAGAAGTGAAGAATATATTGAAGGAGAGCCCCATGAGAGAACCAAGAAAGAAAAAGTGAGCATAAAAACAAGAAAACCATAGCTACAATAATTTTAAAAACAGTAACAGCTGGAGAACGAACTACCTGTTTGTGGTCATCTGGGAAAACTCTCTTATAACCCAATATTGTGACTCATTCATTCTGAATATCTAATGAGACAAGAAACATTTGTTATTAGCAGTTCATTCTATTGCAAAAGCCAGGAAAGTTCCATCTCAAAGTGGAAAACTGAGGCCCTGTTTCTACCAACTTCCTCTTTCAAATTCCACTGAAATGACAGCAAAGGAGTCAAAATGAGATCAAGCTGAAACTGCGCAGTGAACAGGATGAGCAGAACCACCAGCAAATGTTGATGATTTTCTGAATTGGGGCAAGAACACGGTTTCAAGTTGATGGATAACTCAGAGCGAAGGAAGCTGCAGCCTCTGACACTCCTGCAAGATAAGGCTATAGCTGTGCAGGATGTTGTCTTCCTTAAAGAGTCACAGAGAGACCACTGAGCCTGAAGATCACAGGACTGAGGAGCTGGTTAAGGCAATTAATTAAAAATCTGTATCACATGAACCCTCCCATCCCACCTTAGCCCAGCCAGCTAGGACAAGGAACATTAATTAAGTGCTTGCTGCAGGCTGAAGTCAAGATTTTCAAGAAAATGAATGATTTTCATAGACCAGGAAGCCAGTCTAATCACCCCACAACAATAGCAAGCTACAGTATTTTTCTTTTAAGTAGTAAGCAAAAAAAGTAGGCCTTTTTTGGCAAATTTAAAATGAGATTTCCAAAGCTAGAATATTAACAGAAGGGTTGGAAGTTAAGGTAGAGGAAATTTCATAGAGTGTTGAACAAATCAAAATGTGAGACATGAGATGGAATTGAAAGATACAATTAGTTCGACATCTGAGATAGTGTCTAGAGAAAGCACAGAAGACATAATAACCAAGGGAATAGAAGAAGAAAAAATTCTGCAGCTGATAAAGTTTGTCAGTGTTCACTTAGTGCTGAGGGGGGGATGGATGAAAAGACTCACACGTAGAATAGTACTTACAAAATTTTATTTTCATTAAAATGTAAGTTGACACATGTTTGTTTCCTTTCACATCAGAGTCATTTTTTTCCAATATTCCCCATATTCCCTTTTTGAAAAAAATTAGTTGAAGTTGTATGGCAGATGGGATGTAATTTCCTTTTCCATGAATCCTAAATACTATCAGTTTTATAGCTAGTAATATTTGTACATGGTAATATTGTAAACACTGTTGATCTTCTACTTAAAATCAAATGATATAAGACCCATTCATACTTACCAAGAATACAAACATTACCGTTCTTGAGAAGTGAAAGTAGGGATGGAATAAAGGTGCAGGGGAAGGAGTCATAGGTACAGGACATGTACAGGAGCTAAGTTCCTACCTCACACAACAGGGGAAAAGGCTCCTCCCTTTCTTCATTTTTCTTTTAATTTTTTTATTTCTTTTTTTTAAATTTTACTCTCTTTTCTTCTTTTTCTTTTCTGTTATTTTCTCTAATTCTATTAGTTTCCTTCTGCTCCTTAATAGGATTTTTAATCTCAGTTTTCTCTACTCCTCATTTTTAAAAAATTTATGTCTTTCACTCTCTAGTTCTCCACCCCATCTTTACTAGTATAACCATTAAGCTTTAGTAATCTTTAGATATTTAATTAACTCTATGCTATTAGTTTTTTTTCTCTCATTGAGTTTATTGGTACATTTTAGGTATACAGTATAGTTACATTCACCATTGGGATCTTGTACCTTTACATGACAGGTCTGGGTTCTCATTTTTTCCCCTTGTCCCTGCCCTCCTTTCACATCCTCCTACTCTCCCCATTTAAAAACACTTTATTTCCACTTTTTCATTTTCTCATATTTTTTTCTTTTCCCTTATTCCCTTTCCCCTATCCTTCCCACTTTCCCTACACCTTTAGCCCTTTTCTTCCTATTTCACATTGTCAATTATATCATTAGGATCTTATGTACTATTATAGTTTTTCACACCAGAGAAATTATTCAGTATTTGCACATGTGTGACTTATATATTTCACTTAGGAGTATATCCTCAATATGTATGCATTTTCCTATGAATAACTCTAATTCCTTATTCTTTATGGCTGAATAGTATTCCATTTCAAAGAAAAACAACCTCTTCTTTATCCAGTCTCCAACTGATGGGCAAATGGGTTGTTTTCCAAGTTTTAGCTATTACCAACTGTGCCCCTACAAACATATGTGTGCATATATCACTGTGATATGATTCTTTTAATTCTTTTGGAAAGATACCCAGCAGAGGGATGGCTGGGTCAAATGGAAGCTCTAGTCCCAGCTCTTTGAGGTATCTCCATATTGATTTCCATAGTGGTTGCACCAGTCTGCACTCCCACCAACAATGGAGAAGGGTTTCTTTCTCCCCACAACCCCGCCAACATTTGTTATTGTTTGATGTCTTGATAGCAGCCATTCTTTTTGGGGTGAGGTGGAATCTCAGTGTTGTTTTCATCTGCATCTTTCAAATGACCAGTGATGTGGAACATTTTTTCATGTATTTACTTGCTGCTTTTACTTCTTTGTCTGAGAAATATCTGTTCATTTCAGATTCCTATTTTTGAATAGGGTCTTTATATTTGGGGGGGCTGATTGTTTTGAGTTCTTTATATATTCCAGATAAGAGTCCTTTGAGAAGCATATGCTATTACTGTTGAATTCTTTTCTATTGTTAGTAGAGGCATAGTTGTTGTATTAGATATTTACTATACATCAATTCTGGGG